AAAAAAAAAAAAAAAAAAAAAAAAAAAGCCATTAAGCTAGTAGATCAGAATATAAAATATTTAAGATTCTCAACTGTGTACCTAGTCAGAAATACCAAAGCTCACCGTTAAGTACTTTATTAGTAAAGTTAATCCATAATCTACTCATAAATTTTGTTGTTTTAGTTTTTTTTGGGGGGGTTACTAGGGATTAATTCAAGGGCACTGTACCACTGAGCTATAGCCTCCTTTTTAATTTAATTTAATTTAATTTATCTATTTTTATTTTTTCTTTTGAGACAGGATCTTTCTATGTGGCCCAGACTGGCTTTGTCCTAGAGATCCTTCTGCCTCAGATTCCCAAGTAGTTAGGATTTCAGGACTGTACCACCATTGCTGGCATCCTGTGTAGTTGCTTTTTTGTTCTGTTTTGTTTTGTTTCTAATGTAGCAATATGAGAGTTATTTTATTAACCAACTGTGGAAAGTTCATGTATTATGGGTAGAAAAAGTTAACCTATCGTTATAAGTAAAAAATAATTTCCTGTCGGGGCACTGTCTATGATAGGCATTTTTCTTATGATACTAAATTGGTAGTAGTATAGTTTTCTTGCAGTATGTTTGGAATATAAGATCACTGTTTTCTGGATCTTTTAAAAGGTGAAAGATTTATTTGATCTGAAGAGAAACTAGAGTATTTTCTGGATCTTTCAGTGCCAACATTTTCTCCCAGTTTTACACAAGTCCTTCAGTTTTTAAAAGTTTTTTTTTTTTTTTTTTCCAAAACAGTTAAGTCCCTTTGGAATATTGTCTTACATTCAAGTAAATTTTCAAATTGGAGTATTATGATAAATGAAATTACAGGGTTAAATAAAAATACAAAGATTATGTTGGTTAGAAGTATATATTTTATTTGTATTAGAGATCATTTATTGAAGATTTTTCTCTGTAATAGTCCTTTGCAATACTCTAGAAAATTTACTTACTCTGGGCTGGGATTTAGCTCAGTGGCACTGCATTTGCAGGCCTAAGGTCCTGAGTTTAATCCCCAGTACCAAATAAATAAACAAAAAAATTACTTGTTCAGATCTCCACCAGAAGGGGAAACATTCTGCGATCTTTAGAAAGGTGGGGGGAAGCCTTTCATTTAATTGACAATGAATTTACTCATTAAAGGCAAAGACTTTTTGTTTTTCAATATTTGAGTTTGATTTTTTTTGGGGGGGCATGTTGGAAAAAATCATACATTCTGTAACACAAAGCTACAGTTATTATGGTAACTGTTTTAGTAATTGTATTACTCTACAAAGTGCCATAGGCATGTCTTTTTTCTGTGATTTTATTTCTAGGCAAATTTCTTTTAGCATTGAGATTTTTATGATAATCATATTTAACTTGTCAAATTTGGGTTCATTCAAAAGAAATGTTTAGACAAAACATTTATATTTCCTGCATGGCTCATTTATTTAATAAATTTAGAATTTGAAGACCATGATAGATCATGGAGACACATTTAAATTCTGAAGAAATACACATAGCAGGAAAATGTTTCAAAGGGAATTGTGTTAAGGAGAAAGTATTTGAAGTATCTGTTTTCCTATAATAGCAGAAGGATAGTTGTTTAGCATTTTCCTTTTATGTGACTATTAAAAGAAAAAATGATATATATTATAATTTAAAAATATAAAAAATTATTGAAACTTTTTTCATTTTTTTTCTTGAGCTCTCTGAAGGTCTTATTGTCCCATCTTGGAGAGAGTAGCTCTAAACTGTCTTGTTTTAGTTTTCAGGTCACAGCTTCTAATTTCTCAGATATGTCAGTTTCCTTTTGTCCTCAACCTTAAGGGAATCACATTCCTTTTCTTTTGTGCCACAGTTGTAAATTGTATTTAACAAATGCAATTGTTTGCTGCTTGTCCTTTCCACTGGGTGTAGGCATCAGTGTTTCCCATTATATTTTCAGTCACTGCCTGCAGCTGAGGCTGAATAAATAGTGTTTGACCAAAAGAATTAGGTAACTTGCCCACAATCACATATTTAATTTTAAAGTCAAACATTGCTTTCTAATTCATTTTGCTGTGATGAGAATATATAAAATATTACTATTATGAAAGGTAGTTTTAATTGTAAATTGTTTATTGGGAATTTGTATTTTAACTAGTCAGTTTTTAAACTAACCATATTGTTTAGTTGATTTAACAGAATTGATGATAAAAGAAGTTTAATAATCCAAATTTTTGGCCATAGGGTAATAGTGGTAATTCAACCCAAGGCCTGAGTACTAAGCTACACCCCCCCCCCTTTTTGTAGCAGGTCACTAAGTTACTCAGGATAAGTTTGAATTTATAATATTTTGGCTTCAGCCTACCAGAGTGCTGGGATTATAGGTGTGCACTGTCATGCCCATCTCGTAATACTTTGATTGTTTAAATTCCCTTGCTTATATTTATCTTGAAAATTATAAAACTTAAATTATCAAATGAAAGCTTTTAAAATAAATTTTATTAGAGTGAAGATTTTTAGGTGGAATTTATTGAAAAAAACTTTAAAAAGGATCCTTATGGTGAATTTGATAAAATTATTAAACCATTTGATCCACAGTATCTAATTAATTAAAAGCAAAAAATTTTATTTTGGTCATTTTATAATAAGCAATTGTATTCATATTCTTATATATGAGAGAAATTAAATATGATCCCTAATCTAGATAGCTCATATTTTTAAAAAGTAAATTTTCATTGTGAAGGTATAGCAGGCATTTATTAAGGGAACAAAAAAAGGGAAAGACATTTTACTCATAGGTAACAGTACAATTCACAGATGCAAGGTTTCAAAACACTTAAGTAATTCATTCTGGATCCAGGTAGTATGTGCAAGGTGGGACAGAGCTAGGAAGTAAAAGTGAAAGGGCAATTTGATGGTGTAATCATTGTCTTAGTCAGTTTTGTGTTGCCATAATAGAATACCCTAGACTGGGTACTTAAGGGAAGAGATTTATTTTGACTCTTGGTTTTCAAGATACAAAGTCTGAGTTGTAGCAGCGACGTCTACTGGGCTCTTGTCCTGCACCATAACATGGCAAATGTCATTACATTGTGGAAGCTTGTTTGAGAGCAGTGATCATTGTGGCTGGAAAAAGTCAAACATAAAGTGAGGTGATCTTGTACTACAAACAAATAATATAGTCCCATCAGACCTAACCCATCCTCATTAATCACTTCTGAGGTTTGTTTCCCAATAATCTACCTCCCAGTAGGTCCCACTTCTTAAATGATTTTACCACCTCTCAACATTGCTTGACTGGGGACCGAGCTTCTAATACATGGACCTTTGGAGGACTCACTCTTACCATATCCAAACTGTAGCAGTCATAAAGATCCTACATGGCCTGCTTGGGAAGTTGAAACTTATTTTATGCAGTAGGAGCAAAGTGATCGGGGAGAGACCTGAAAAAAGCAAATAATGGAACGTGGGTAGGCTTAGTGTGAGTTTGAGGGTGCAGAAATGAGAGTATAGAATATATACTGGTTACTATTTGTCCTACTCTCTTAGCCCTTCCCGCTTAACCCCTCCAACTAAAAGGAAAATAAGGACAGGGCATCCTTCTGTCAAATTTTTTAAACGTGTGTTCATAATGTGTCTGTGTTTTAGTGAATTTTAATAGAAATTTGTGTAACAAGGCCACTATTAATTACCAAAGGATAGGATATATTTTCCAAAATAAAAATGCTTGTAATTCAAATCAGTGTTATTTTTCATGGTATCCTAAAGCTTTTAATATAATTTTTTTTCCTTTTCAAATAACAGCTTGATTTTGCTGTATGGTCACATTAACTATAATCTTATAAGGATAAGAATGGTTTTTAAAGGTTACATCTTATTAGTACATTGGAGTTTTGTATGTTATGTACTCAAGTCTTTTCAGTTTGTCAAAATTTAAGAAATAAAGTAGAATTCTAAATAGAATAGCTTGCAAAAGCATTAACTTGGTGTACCATGAACCAGCACTGAAACCAGAAACAACCATATCTCTTCTTTGGTTGCTCAGAAAAATTATGGGGGCCAAAACAGCAGTAAGAAAAAACAGTATTTATTCTGTTCTCTATCCCAGCCTTTTAAGTTCCTGAGCCAAATTTTTATTAGCTAACCCTCCCTAATCTGTCTCTTTATGACAGAGTTCGTTCAGCAAAATTGTCAAGGATGAGTTTTTGTGAAAGATGAGTACTTGGGTGAGCCTCTCTCCACTCTCTCTCTCTCTCTCTCTTTTTTTTTTTTTTTTTTTTGAGAAAAGATAATGGAAAGTAAAGCATTTTCTCATTTGTTGACCCTTAAGGTTCCTATCATCCCACATAATTTGAAGCATCACAATATTGGTGGTGTGATGGGCTTTTCTTTATATTCGGCTTTTTAGCCTGAAGTGAGATTTTAGTATGGCTTGAAGTAGGTTACTGTTTTGAAAACATATACTCAGTATCACTGATAACAAAACAATACACGTGATCAGTACTAAATTTTATAAATATGGTATTTAAATAAAATATTAATTATATTTTATCCTTAATAATTAATTTAATAATTTCAGTATTTCAAAGGGCAGGATTATGGTAATTTTTTTAGATTAAATCTTTTGCTTGAATGAATGAAATTTTGTTTTTCCACACAGATTTGAGTTCTGTGAACCTGCATTTGTCGTCGGTAATTGCCTCCAAATAGCATCTGACAGTCATCAGTATGATCGAATTTATTGTGGAGCTGGGGTCCAGAAAGACCATGAAAACTACATGAAAATATTGCTGAAAGTTGGAGGCATACTAGTTATGCCTATAGAAGATCAGGTGACTTCCACTGTCTGTTTACTTAATATATCATAGGGAACAAACATTGATTAGCTTAAGATTGGGAAATGTTATTCAATGAAAGTGAAAGATGTATTTTAATTTTGGAGGAGGGCAGGATCTCACTTTATAGTTCAGGACTTGTCTTGAACTCCAACCCAGGATGGCCTTGAAGTCAAAACAGTCTTCCTGCCTCAGCCTCTTGAGTGCTGGGATCATGTGTCACTGTGCCCAGGAATTTTAATTTTTAAAGAAGTACTCTTACATGTCTACGTGCACAGAAAAAATTTGACAGCAAATTATGTAAAACAGATGTAGGAACAATCCTATACTTTGACAGAGGAGACGTGGGCTTTCACTTGCTGTCAGACTGCTTGCTGTCTGAGACTTTGAGCGAGCTTCTCCCTCTTGTATTTCTTCCCTTGAAAGATGTTTAGTTGAATGTGATGACCTCTGCCAGCAGCTCTTTGTCCATGGTTTTTCAGTTCCTTACATACATGGAGAAGAAATCGAGTTTGCACTTGGTTTGAAGTGCCTAACCTCATTAATAAAACAAGTAAATCTTTAAATCTTCATTCAGCACCATCTACTCTCATTTGGAAATATTCTTCAGCCATTTATGAACATTAAATTTATCTTTTTTGACTTGGTTTGAAATTATTAGGTATAATAAATGTATAAAACAACTTATTCAAACAGGAGAATAAATTACTTTCAATATTTATAAAACATATTTCAAAGAAATGTGATCTTTAATATTCACATTAACCTAAATCTGAGTTGTTTAAAATATCTTGCAGTTACAGGACAGAGTCTTTATTTATTTATTTATTTATTTATTTTTATTGAATTTATTGGTACAATCTAGGTATACAATACAGTTACATTCATTATTGGGATCCTGTACCTTTACATGATAGGTCTTGATTCTCATTTTTTCCCCTTGTCCCTGCTCTCCCTTCACCCCCTACTCCCCTCCCCATTTACAAACAATTTATTTCCATTTGTTCATTTTCTCATATTTTTTTCCTCTCCTTTATTACCTTTCCCCCACCCTTCCCACTTGCCTTACACCTTTAGCCCTTTACTTCCCATTTCACATTATTAATTATCTCATTAGGATCTTGTGTACTATTATAGTTTTTCACACCAGAGAAACTATTCGGTATTTCAGTTAAAGAAATCTCTGTATGAACATTAGAAATAGGGAATCCTAAACTAAAACTAAAAAGGAAAGTAAAAGAGAAAAGGCAGTGATGTAAAATTAAAATAATCCTTAATTCTGAAGATGAAAATGGTCCTTGAACATATTTAAGTTGCTTCTTGCTCTTGTAGTCTTATATTATTATTTTTTGCATTATTTAGAGAATACTTTATTAGTTTCTGTAATCAAACCCACGTAGATATGACCTTACATATTTAATAGAGTGCATTACCCCTGTAGAAATAGACAAAATAATTAGCATTTCTAGACCAATATGGCTGTTAATTTCTGTACAATGCCAACTCGACACAGTAAATTGGGATAACTTTTTCCAAAGTCAACAACACCGTTAAAGTTTCCAAAAATTCAAATTATATATATATGTGTGT